GATATTTATTTGATTGCGATGTGAATAAAACACTATTATTGAACAATAATGATTTAATTGAAAGATATTCTAAGTCCAAATTATTAATTTGGAATCATGTCTGGTGTGAAGGTGCTTGCACTGACTGGTGGCTCACGTCTGATTTTGGTCTATTCGGGACTCTCCTATATAGTCCTACTCCCTGTGTTTCCGCTCTTATAGATAAGATAAGTATGTGTCCATGGTCAAATTGTGCAAATGTGTACGTGCGTATCACTATAGGATACCGTAGCATCCCACGCTCGTGCGGCCGTTCTGTTCACATCCTACTATTCGTGACACGCGTAATCTCAATAAACTCGATGCCCTTATTAGGTATCTGAATGATTTCCTGCCAACACAATAATTTCGTATAATGAGCTTCTCTTATTTTAATATTCTACATGCACTGGCTATTGAGATTTGACACAATGTGATCGGTGGTGAAATCATATGCCCCAGGGACACTCATGTATACCTATGGGTAAATGCGTATATAGTAGTCTTAGCGGGACGTCAGTACATAGCACATCCAACTTTCATAAAATACTCATCCTTCAAATATATAAATGATCAATGCATGAGGGTTTTTCCTGTGAGGTCATTTTTGTTGATGGTTTGATGAATATTCGTATATTGAATCGGGAGTGGATATAGAAATTTAAATGTGATKGGGATAAAAATTAGTAACAACAAAAATCCGGGTGTTAAGTGATAGTGTGATAATCATAATCAATTTATATAATATAAGTATAACATATGTTCACTTAAAAGATAAAAAGATAATTGTATGGAATTTTAGAAAATTCGAAAAACTGACATACACCCTTAATGAAGAATAATGTTTGTAAGCCTCAGTTTTCTAAATGGTTGATAATATAAATATTTTGTTTGTTTCAAAGTACCAAAAGCTTTAGAAAGTCTAGAAGTTCCTTTTAAAATCCTGGAAACTACTTATTTAAATGATATTGTTGATGATTGCAATGAGAATATTGCCAAGTTGGTTGTTCAATATTATCCAAACAAGGAGGATTATAACAAAGATAAATTTTTTGGTAAGTAAAATAAAAGCTAAGTTGATTTTTAATGGTTACATTTTCAAAGACTGTTAATTTTTTTTATAGATCAAAATGATTGCATTAAAAAATTTTTCTCCTTTTTACAAATAAAAAACAAAATGGATGCATTGCAGAAGGATGGTAAGCCTATTTTTTGGGCTTTTGAAACAAGTGCTGCAATTAAAATAGGAGAACAAAAAACAATTTCGAGGTAACATTTGCTGATAATTCAACAATATTGTAGTCACGACTATWAAATGTTTCTGTGTAAAGTCCAGTAATGTATTTTTTATGAATTTCACTATAGCTTAAGTTAAGCAGCAGCTCTCATTTAACCTATTAAAATACCAAGAAAATATTTATTGATTAATGATTTCTATTTCCAAAAAATAATTTTAATTTTATTTAATAATTCAACATACTAAAAAGAATTAGTCTCAAGAGTGAGGGAATGATCATTTTTATTAGTTTCCCAATACCACCATTGACTAAGCCATGAAATAGCTAAATAATGGTTATATATTTTTTATAACTTACTGTTTTGTTGAAATACTTAAAAAAAACTTATCATGTATATTTAAGATTTCTGAACACTCAACCAATAATCATCGGTATGGAGACAAATGATGTCCAACAAAGAAGCCGGTTTATTTGGACTAACATCACTATACTCAAAGAAAACATCAAACAATTAACAACTCAGAATATTTATCTTCATAAAATGCCAAAATCTATTGGAAGAAGATCAAAATTTTATAAAGATAACATAGGTAAAAACAATACTATAAGCTTTTTGACAACATTCATATATATATATAATATATTATTTACCATTTGTCATAAACTGTTCATAATTAAATATTAAATTATTCATAAATTTATTTTTCAGATATGCCTTGGTGTTACACTTCTATGTATGCTATTTTAAGTAGCTTCATAAGAAATGACATCGTATTTTGAATGTATGCAATGTGTCATATTGCTGATGTTATTGGCTCATGRTTTTGTATCCAAAATATTTGATTTTTTTATTTCTTGATCTTGATTTTAATTATGTTTTAACTTTTTTTTTTGAACGCGAGGAAAGCATTTTAATTTTTATATAATTTGTTATATTTTTAAAAGACTTCATTCTACTCAACAGCAATTACATTTTTTTTTCTTTACTGTATTAATAGAAACTGGTTCATTTTTTTGTTACTATTGCATTATTTTTAAACATTTGCAAGATGGATTTTATATAAGTAAAAGGTGATTACTTTATCCCATTAGTATTTTATTTATTAATTATCAATTATTCACTATGATAAAATACACTAGTATGAGTGACAAAAAGATAGATCACGATTAACCTTTTCATTGCTACAATATTGCCAAAAAAAAAAATTACATTTGAAATGTTYATTGTGTGTATACTGCTCTATAATAAAGTACTATAATCTTCTCAAGTACCAACAAATATTTAAAAATTACAACAATTTTGAAATTTACTAAAATATTTGTGTTTGGTCTTTAAAATGTAATTAATATCTCTGTAGAAAATAGTTGTTTTGAATTTTTGATCCTTGTTCATACAAATCCAAATTATTTTCAGTATGCAATAAAAATATTGTAATAAATAGGTACTATACAGAACATTAAAATACATAATTAAAATTAAATAATATTAATATACATATGAAATATAAATTATGGTACATAACGTTGGTGGAAAGTAAAGACATGTATGGGTATTAAAWCGTTGGTATAGTTCAGTAGAAACTGTTTAAAAAAATTCTGAATCGAAATGACAACCCAATTGAGCACGATTGATGTTTTTCACAACCCGTTATGGTTGCAAACAATTTGAAACCCAAAATCTAACACTATTGAACTTGAAGATAGGTGTAACTTTACCATGTTGTATAGTAGAATATTATTGTTTGAAAAATAAGATGCATTTTAGTTTTTGAATGTTAATAAATAAAAATTTTAATGACGTCCCATATTATCTAAACAATGTTTGCTCGGTCAATTAGTTTGGTATATTATATTACATATATAATTTGCTCCTTAAAATACTGAATAATATATATATATATATATATATGTATAAAAAAATAAAGTAGGTTAAAAAGTAAAGTGTATTTCATTATTTTCCATCTTAAAAAACCTAATGTGCACATGAAGGAACACGAGCATGATTCAACAGAACAGACTGGCTGTGGCCATGTCTTATTTACAGCGTAGGTACATACAATAACAGTTGATCACAATAACATTCTTGTTTCTTATCCCTGCTATCTTCAATTCCCGACGAACCCATCTGGAATACGTATGTAACCTAGTACCAGTAGGTTAAACCTCCATTAAGGACCCAAGAACTGCATGCCATGTGTTATTACTTTGCCTATTACTCATTAGTCATTAATATTTGATATTAATTGTTATTCAATGATTATTAATATTCAATTGCTAGATAAATAAATATGCATAAGTCATATTAATAAAGATAGTGTTCAAGTCGCGGCTCGCCACAGCCTTCCCTTTGAACCGACTCGTTTTAATATATACAGATGTAATACCTAATACAATAGTTAATAATCATTCAATTCTCTTCTGTATGTGTATATTAATTTAAACATATAATTAGTAATTACCYATTGAACACTKTACACTCRATTACAATATTTTGTCAATATAGTATTACAAACCAATGAAAGATTAAGTTTTTTTTTGGTCATAGGCGATGACATTGTATGTAAATGTAATATTAATATACTTAACATAATATGAACAACATTTGTAAAAGTAAGCGTGAATAATGATTTTTAGTCACCATTAAAACTTAAAAAATATTTTACATTAATACATTAAYATTATTTTCCTTTCAAAAATTTGAATGTTAGCTGTTGAACAGGATTGTGAATTGATTAATTCAATGAACTCTTTAGTTTTTGACACGATTTAAGATTACAGGTTAAACATCGGCCTATGGTATAATGTATTATTTTATGCCGTCTAACTGAGTCTCTAAATCAGCTGTGGAACTACTGACTGGCACCATCTAGCGGCATTTAGGTGGAAACTCAACAAACCAAAACGTACTATTTAAAATATTAATAATAATAATAATAATAATAATAAATAATTTATTATTATTATTATTATAGCACGTAATATTGCACGTATGAAGTAGTAACGTGAACGGTCGTATAGTAATTTATTAGTAATTAACTCGTAAATCAGTATATCAAGATTTTCAAGAAGAAAAATGCGTTACGTATCCACAGGGAATAGTTACGTACCGCCTCGTATCGAAGTCTGAGTCCGATACGAGTCGGTACGTATCGCTTGTATATTTCACGTGTAACTTCTTGAACGCTCAAAATTGACCCAATACGTATCGATACGTATTATTTTCTTTCTTGAAAATCTTGTATCTTAAATCGTGGTTTTTGATTTTCTGTAAAAATTCTAAAATTTGCGTTGGATGCTATAATTTTTTTGTTTGCCTATAACAAAATTTATGCTATTCTGACTTGCACATAAAATAACCGCTAATGTTAAAAATGTACATAATTTAWTTTGATTGGAGACTTCTTTAATTGTATAGGTATATTTGAATTTTCATAGTATATTAATTTGATTTATGGCCTTATGGGTAAAACTACTTATTGCAGATATCAAAATTATTGTTATTATTTTTATTTACATAAAAATTTAATTTTTAATGTAACTAAAAAAATAGTAAATAATAATTAAATAATATTATGGTACAGTTTTAGAGTAGCGGGGATAAATATTAGGGCCAGTAAGTTACCGTCTACGGTTAAACATCGATTACGCTTAATCAGCTGATAACAGATATTTAACCGTGCAAATTCGGCCGATTAAACTACGGTTAACTTTAATCAGAGACTGTACAACTGGGCACTGGCCCTAATACATTTATCATCTATATTATATAATATTAATATTAATTTTTCAATTTTTGTAACTTACAAATATTAACGTTGAATGTAAAGTGAAATATGAAAATATACATTTGATGATGTATCATGATGGTTGGTGTCATCCTATAACCTAACTTAAACATGGGCGCTCTTGGGACTTGGGTAAAATTTTAAGGAGGGTCAAAATAAAAAAAATCTCAAATGTAAGAAAATGAAGATTAATGTTATTTTCACATAATATGAATATGCATTTTATATTTGTATTGCCATATATTTAGGCACAGTTGATTCATATTATTTTTTGTCTAGGGAGGGTGTGGTGGTGTGGAAGTGCTCTATCTCGCCCCCCTCCCCAATAGGCGCCCATGAACCTAAATCCAGTTTATTTCACAATGGGTAGATTATAAAATTTCGTTTGACAGAGGCAACAGCTGTTGTACCTTAGTGGTTTCGTCTACTCGGCGCGTTAGTACCACGACCATGTTAAACACGTMGGTATAGGATGTGGTCAGTAGGCTATCGTTCGAACATGGACGACGGCATCGTGCTAGGGACGCGTTTATWTAATGGGTCCGCAGAATAAACAGTCCATTACTCGGTCAACCGACTCATCTTGGGTGCGCCACAATCGCGCCYGACTGTGGGATCAGTCGATTACGGCTATTGTTATCTATGGACCAGTTGATCACTCCGCATTCCTCCCCCGTCTACGCCCGCACGTTGATTCACGTTCGTGTCCGACGTTCGACAATTCGACATTGTAGCCAAACCAAATTCCATAGTTTTTTTGCGCGTGTTCCTGTTTGGTTTCAAAATATTCATTGCATCATGCATCATTGATAATTAAGCCATTTGTGATTTTCTTCGTCGCCCCGTTGGTTTTCACAGGGGTCTTACGCGTGCTTACATTGTAGACTTGTGAAAACCGTGTTACGATCCAGAAATCATGTCCGAGTACGACCATACGTGTGGCATGGATTTGGTCGAAGACAAAGTCACCAAATTGAACCAAGTTGAATTCGTTTACTTGACCAACGACGACGACGACGACTCGGGCAATGAAGACGAATAATATGATGACACAAGTTGGAGTCCGAGTGATGAAATGAGCATCGAAGATTTGGAATTGTCGGGTGGCAATGACAACGACGTCGAAATTATCGGCGTAGGCATCGCAACTTATTGATAATGATAAATGACAGAAAGTTCCACCCCAAGCCAAAGCCCGTGWCTAACAATCCCAGGTCCAAGATGAACACGTTTTATACGAGAGTATATTTATTTATGAATAATATCTCATTTCTATCATCGTTAAATTTCAAGTTAGTCCATTTTTTGACTTGTTTAACTTGGTTAAACGACACAAATTTTTCCATTTTTAATAAATCAGTATTCAAATTATTMATTTCAATCATTGATATTCAATATAGTATGGACAGTATGGTACCTTTTAAAAATATTATTTAAAACAATTGTAAAAATAATGGTTATGTTGAAACAATTGAAATTTAATAAATGAAAAATACTATTAAAAATAACATAATAATATTCTAAATAAATTAAATTACTTATAGATGATGTCCATCATTGCTAATATGGTCACAGTTAAGTATTAAATATTTCAGATTCTAGGCTAAAAATGAAAATGTATGTTTCAAAACATTCCAGTCACTATAGTCTAGTGATACCATTAATTTATTTAAATACATAGTTTTTTACATTTATTCCTATTACATCTAATGATTAATTTGTTATTAAATTTAGACAGGAATAGAAGATTGATAGAAAATTTGATTTATTTCTATGTAGGTTTTAATATTGAAATAGTATAATATTTTTCCTTGTATGGTTATAAAACAATTATGAATTTTACTTTAATCGTAGGCATTGCACTGAATAAATTATTAAATTAGTTACCTATGTATTTTTTGAATTATAGCCTTAGTAGCAAGTCAGATGAGATTCAAAATTCATCTCTATCCTCCAGTAGAACTAATCCTCTATCAAGTCTTCCAACCAATAATGTTTGCCTTCGCAATGGACTTGAAGTTGACTGAATTCTATATGCCTAATATTTTAGTTTCAAGTACCTATTTAGTTTCCGCGTACAGTGTACACTAGTACATTTATAATAAATACAATTTTG